AAGAATGGAAAGCAGTCGACGTCTCCCCAAACACGTCATTTCGGATCCTCCCGATCTACTAACGGTGCTTTTAGGTACCTCAAGCACCGGTCACCGTTCACGTCAAACCCGTCGCTTGCGACGAAGGGCTCGACGAGTAAATTAACCCCCAGACACAGCCCACTGAGTTTCTCGCCGCATCTTCTCAGTGGGTCGCGTTTCCGATCCGGTGGTAGATTCTGCGAAGCACGGCTCTTGCTAGGGTTCGTGTTAGCAACTTCGTCAGGTTTGAGTCCCGTGAGCTCACCTACCAGTTAAGATTCCGCTGGAATACCCTCTCGAGGCTACCAGCTTAGGTAGGGAAAAAAAGGCTAGTCCAGCTACGTGCGCTGAGGAGGAGAGCTAAAGGGATGCCTGGCGATTCTCCCCTGATATAAAAGGGCACACGGAGATTTCCGCGTTTATTCACAATACACACTCACTAACGGTCAAAATAAGCTTATAAAATACGTGTTGCATAATTTACAATACGTTTTATACTTTTTGAAGTATTAACTTTAATTATCCGAATTTATTAACAAATTACTAAATGCTTTTTAAGTAATTAATAAATAAAAATTTTATATTTACATTACAATTTAAATACAAATTGAATTACAAAAAAATTATTCTTAGTGCATGGTCGTTTAAAAGGTTCGTGAAATGTGAAGAGATGGAAGAAATAGCGATTTGCCAAAGTGAAAACTTCAATAAAATTTGCTTTAATTACTTTGATGTTGTCAACATTACATTACGGTGTCAAACTTATAAATATGCGTATTATCTAGCTTTGTTTATAAATCTAGCTTATGAAAATTAAAATTCTAAAGAAAACTTACAATAGTTTTAGTTGAAAATAAAATATTGAATGAAGTAGTTGTTACTATGGGATTACGATAGAATTTCTTTCTCATAGCCGCTATCTCCGTAGCATTCGTGCTACGGCGTAGCAGATCAATTCGACAAACCCTCCTGTCAAAGTTATTCGTTTTTTCAGAGAATCTTATTCAAAACTTCTTACTGGTGGTAGGACCTCTTGTGAGTCCGCACGGGTAGGTACCACCGCCCCGCCTATTTCTGCTGTGAAGCGGTAATGCGTTTCGGTTTGAAGGGTGGGGAGGCCGTTGTATTGTATAAACTGAAACCTTTCAACTAATATCTAATAGGTGGCGGCATTTACGTTGTAGACGTCTACGGGCTCCAGAGACCACTTAGCATCAGGTGGGCCATGAGATCGTCAACCCACTTAAGCAATAAAAAATAAAAAACGATTATGCCTGTGTTAAAATATTCCAGACCAATTCTAGAGATACGTACTCAATTTACAAGTTCGCGGAATACGCATTACTGCTTCACGGCAGAAATACGCAGGGTGGCGGTACCTACCCGTACGGACTCACAAGGCGTCCTACCACCAGTAAAAAAGGTTAATGCAAGTACACCGGGACTATATCGATTTGTTCTTCTAATTAGCTTGGCATATTATGATTGGTAATCATCGAAAATAATTTAGAAAAACCTTACATTACAATCGAAACATTTTAAAGGGTTATGAGAAATGTAATAGTAACTGTAATATTTCTATTTCACTATTATGAAAAATACCCTTATCTCAAGTCAGAACTTGTGACGATAGAAAGTGGATTCAGAGTTCGGTGCTTACTTTGGATTTATGTGGAACATTATTTTCAATCAAATATCGATGCACCCCTAGACAACGGTTACGCTCGAAGACGTGACTGGCTTAGTTCACTGAACTTTAAGGGTGTAATGGGAGCAGTCGCAAAACCTAAATGGCAATAAAGCTTACCCTAACGAGTATTCCTTTACCAAACTAACTTGTTTTTCCATCTCATAATCAAAAATTCATTTTCAAATATCCTTGCAGAGCTTTACAGGAGAGCCGTTTAAAGTTTAAAATGTTGGCATAAATATCATAACAAAAAAACTTCTTCGGCTATTTGAACTAAAAGCATCGAACTGTTGATGCCGATACCAAATAAAACGCACCTTTAATCACAAAGACAAATGTCGCGTATTAATTTTAACTAAAGGTCCCGCAGTAGTCGAAATTCGACTATAATTAATTGGAATTGTAAGCTATGATTGTATTTTATACTTCTATTATTACAAATTTCGCCAAGACTACACTATAAAAAATATTAACAAAGACAAACAAAATTTAATCTCAATTTGACAACAGACGTCAAGAACAAAAGTTTGACAATAAATAGTATGCATGCATGTGTGCGTCAAATACATTGTATGTAGTGTGTGTAATGTTTTCTTTATTGATTTAATGTATCTTTTATGCATTATTTTAAAAAAATATTAGCTTAGTGCACTTCTTCTCTATATTCTCTATAAGTGTGGAAAATTTCATAGTCCTCCGTCCGCGCAATTTTCGTAAAAAGGGATACAGAGTTTTTGCTTCACGTATTAATTAATTTAAATATCGCTAATACTCGATATTATCTAGGTATATTCATGTCTGGTTGTCTGGAGTTTACAGAAATATCGATACTATAGCTACAAGGATATCATCGCCCCCCCACCGTGCAATATGATGTTGAAGACTCAATTGATTGGAAAAAAATCTGTACAAATCTTCTATAAAATATTAACCTAGTTATATTGTTGTTTCATCTCAAGAACTTCTTTTCTTTTACTTGAGCTGGTAGTATTAGAGTACTAGAGTAATACATGACAACTTTTTTCTTTGTTGCATCACTCTTGTTACAGCGGTCCGGGTCTTTATTTTATTTATTTATTTAAATAAGTACTGCCACATCACAAACATCTAACATTGAAAATAAATTTAAACTATTTAATTTATGGCCTGATGCATATGACAACAATGGCGTACATAGCATTGGCAATTCATCGGCTCGAAAATGGAATACAATAATAATAATAATTAAAAAAAACAGTACTATTTGTTGAAATATTAATAAAAATGTCTAAAAATTTCATGTCATATCAAAAAGAAGAAAATAAGAAACGTTAATACAGTTTTTAATACAGGGTTTTTATTCAGACGTATTGCTGTGGGCAGATGTTATGTGCCTCACGAGCAATCACCACTTCTCCCAGGCTGTGGTGAGTCTGGTACATTTATGTAAACAGTCGCCAACTGCCGACTTAATTATTTTTTATTGCACTGATGTGTGGACCAGTTTAAAGTCCACCTGGTGTTAAGTAGTTACCGGAGCCCATAGACATCTACGACGTAAATGCCGCCACCCACCTTGATATACGAGTTCTAAGGCCTCACTTTTATACACGGTTGGCCCACCCTTCAAACCGAAACGCATTACTCCTTCACAGCAAAAATAGGCAGAGTGGTGGAAGCACCTACGCGTGTGGACTCACAAGAGGTCTTACCACCAGTAAAAAGTCAGTCGGTCAGTCCATCGCATGGACAACCTTTCACGTGATCTGGTTCCTTCTATAGTACATGAAATGGTATGGTATATGGTACATGACAAAGTCTCGTAAAACATTGTTGGTCTTAACGATATCCAAACTGAAACATTCTACACAACAGCCACTAATCGACTAGAAACGACTAAATCATGGGAAATCGTACCGGAAATTCTATAATGCGTAGTTCTGTGAAAGGAAATGGACCTGAATAAAGAAAACTGCTATAGTCATGAACAGCTAACGAGCTGATACCACATGCGTGGAGTTTCCGAATTATTTAGGTTAAAAGGTTCATTGCTTGGTGAGTGAGACGCCCGGAATCCGCGTTATGTGACTACAACGTTCAATTTCCGAACTAAATAACTGGTATGACTATATTGGGATACCTATACCAGTGCCAGAAATACTCTGGTTTAACAGTATCCTTGTACAAAAAAATCAAACCTTTGCAAATGAACCGGACCGGATTTCGGATTGAAAATCGAGTAAATCTCTTTGTTAAAAATATTTGTTATTCGATCGAATTCTCGATTCATATGTGCTTTCAGGAACGCTGTGGAAAGTTTTAGCTGTTGATATAAATTTATGAAGTTTTGACGGAAACGACAAGGATGAGATCTTCCACCGAGCGGGTGAAATTGCTGGTAGACCAATAGTCCACATCTTACTGTTCGAAATTTGTATTTAAGCAAGCATATCTTGCAAATATCGTTAGGGAAATTCAGAAATCTGTCCAACATCTTGTATTCTATGATATCTCACATCACATCATCACAAATTTAAGACGGAAATTCCCTTCACCGCTTACTCCGCTCTTGGCGCTACCTATATCTACCGAGATAGACAGATATCAAAATAATTTCTCGAATTTAAAAAAAATCACGCTGGATGGGTCATAGTATTGAAAATTAGTATTGATAATTGAATCGTAACAGATTTCTGACTTATTCGATACCGTAGAACTTCACTACAAGTGGTCCAAAAATCGGTATCTGACCACACATTTATAATAATACCTACAATCACACCATGCACGAAGATAATAAATGACAAAACCGATAAATTCTTACAATTAATTCTTATTCAATATCTTTTTTTTAATTTTTATCGATAATCTTATGTACATAGTAAACTAAACGAGATCTGCTTATATACATTTTCGGTGGTGGTTTTTGTTAAAGAATTTAAATTCGGTGAAAGGTTAAAAAGGTCTGTTGTCATTGCTATAAAGTTTTAGAGCGGTTTCCTTTCGTGGTTTCCACCTGAGATCGGTAATTGCACAGGCAAACCCCCTCTTGCCGTTAGGGCCTATTTAAGACTCGCTGGAGTTATAATGTAGGAAAATCCGTGGAAGTATTACCTATTAGCGGCCTCGAAGAAATTTGGATAAAATTATCTCTAGTCATAAATACACTGTAGGTCATGGGAATAATTTCAAATGATAGATTCGTGTAGGCTCAGTAAAATAAACGTGGTACGAAGGTAGATTAAATGAAGAATTTTATATAATTTTAACCGTTTTTTCTTTTTTCGATTCTACAAATCTTAACTTTTTGTTTTTTTTTTTCAAAACAATTATTCAATCAATCCATAAACTAGAATCGTACAATTAATTCGTCACTTACATTTTTAATGAAAAATACTTTAAATTTATATAAACAAACAAAACTCCGACCTGACCCTATGTTGATAGGCGGCGTTAATATCATTACTTATTTAAATATTATAATACATCCATAATGTCCTGTTTGTAGTAGCACCCCATTAGGGTGACAATGAAGCTGAGCATCGCTGCCGAGATCGGATACTGGATCCGGAGTTGTCCACCGTGCTGCATCGCTGCGGGGTGCTCACCTGACAAAAGAAGATATGACATTGAAAAACAAAGTAACCTGCGTTTTTTTTTATTGCCCTTGTAGGCAGACGAGCATACGGCCCACCTGATGGTGAGTGGTTACCGTCGCCCATGGACTTCAGCAATGCCAGGGGCAGAGCCAAGCCACTGCCTACCGCTTAATACTCTCCACAAGCCTCGTTTGAAGAAGGGAGGCGTCATATAAGGAAATGCTTTCAGCATCTTATAATTATCATTAGTACCTTTAGAACAACCTCTTCGAAAGCAGCCAGAACATTATCATCGTCATATTATTAGCTTATTAATAATTAAAACTCATTTTAAGGTTTAATCTCGTGAATTTAATTGTTATTATATTATTTCCGATTGACTGTCGTTCGTAACCACGACAACTGTAAATTACTAAAAACTTTTTTGCTGTATAGGCAGATGAGCTTACAACCCGCCTGATGATGAGTGGTTACCGTGGCTCATGGACATCAGCAATGCCAGGGGCAGAGCCAAGCCGCTGCCTACCGTTGGAAATGTCGAAAATACTAAAATGACAATATTAAATGCGAGATTACGGTTTAAACCGTAAAATAATTTTTTTTATTGCTTAAATGGGTGGAGTCCACGCGGTGTTAAGTAGTTACTGGAGCTCATAGACATCTACAACGTAAATGCGCCACCCACCTTAAGATATAAGTTCTAAGGTCTCAAGTATAGTTACAGCGGCTGCCCCGCCGTTCAAACCGCAACGCATTACTGCTTCACGGCAGAAATAAACAGGGTAGTAGTACCTACCCGCGCGGACTCACGAGAGGTCCTACCACCAGTGCGCGTGTATGGGTCACGTAAAAGCAAAGAATTAATAAAATAATAATAATACAGAAGGAAGTAACAGTTATCTTCGATACGGCGCCTATTGTGAGAAGTTTCCTCACTCTGGAGTCCTAACCAGTGGTGGCTTGTGTCGTAGACACTGCCATCAGCGGCAATTTATTTTTATATAGTGTTTCTTTTTAAATTGTATTTTAAATACACGTTTTTTTTAAACATTGTATAATCAATAAGATATTAACTAAATATAGTATTATAAAATAATAATAATAATGATAAGATAATTTATTGCCTTTCACACACATTTAGATTACCACAGATTACATAAATAAAACAAAAGAAAAAAAGGAAAAGTAGGTGGTTCAGCTGATGCTGTTCAAAGCGAATGTATCGGAAAAGCGCTGATAAAGAAAGTAATATATCTTTTTTTTTCCCTACCTATTCTCTGGCCTAAGGGGCTATTCAAGCTATTCGCGGATGGTACTCTCGGACAAGATTTTTTTTTTTAATATCATTATTAACGATGAATGAACGAGGTTGCAGCCAATGTTGTCAATACATACAGTGGAATGGTTGACAAAGCTCATTAGTGCCTTCTTGAGACATGAGGTTGAAGTCTCAATTGTATGATATAGCGATTGTCCCTACAAACCAGACCTCACGACCGCTCCGCGCAGAATTGGCTACAAGGGTAACTTGCTGTGCGGGCTTACAATACGTCACACAGTACAATATACTCAGATAGAGCATTCTCCTGTGAAATCCTTAAGCGCCATATACGATACGCAGAATATAAAGGTGATGCTGTACTACCCTGATACTATAAACCAGGGACCAGTGCTCTAACTAAAATCACAATTGAATTGTGAAGTATTTATAATAGTATAGTTATAACACGATACAAAACAAAACGTATGTAATGCTGTAGTTGATAAATGCATTACATATTAATGGCGGCAAATTTAGAAATTCCGTTTACGGACCAAACAATACAAACTTCATTAGCTGAGTTAATTAGTTTTAAATCCTTCAATTTAGCGTACACGGATTCCATCCACATGAATATAGCAGGCGAAATTTTATTTGTTTTTGTGTTGGTAAGTCAAATAGCAGTTGAAGTTCTATTTTTTTAATGCCCTTGTAGGCCGACGAGCATACGGCCCGGCTCACCTGATGGTGAGTGGTTACCGTCGCCCATGGACTTGGCGGCTTGGCTCTGCCCCTGGCATTGCTGAAGTCCATGGGCGATGGTAACCACTCACCATCAGGTACGTACGTCAGGCCGTACGCTTATCTGACTACAAGGGCAATGAAATAATAAAAAAAGCTCTTTATCAAACGATACAGCTTCAGCCTCCATTAATTGGTCTTTGTTTTAGTCACACTTTTAGGGCTCACTATGTTTTCGGGTTATATTCCTCTCACGAGCTTTAGTGTACGCTCAAACAGATAACTGTTTATCGGTAATTTTTAGCCAGCTTCCCTTTTTATTCAGAGTTTTCAACATTAGGTACTTCTAAGGAAAACGAGTCATAATTCATTATCCTGCCTTTCTCCCAGTCACCTGGGGTCGGTGCAACATGTTTTCTCCTTCCATACTCTTCTATCATATACCATTTCTTCGCTCACTACCCTCTTACCCATATCGTCTTCACGCAATCCATCCATTTCTTTTTAGGTCTACCTCTTCCTCTATATCCTTCCATATTCATAGTTAATACTCTCTTACCAACCTCATTTTCATTTCGTCTCATCACATGTTCATACCATCCCAAACGCACACTTCTCAGCTTCTCTGTCACAGGTGCCACTTTCAGACTTCCTCTAACATATTCATTCCGTATTCTACCCATTCTCGTTACTCCACACGAGCAAAACGAATACAATGTGTATATATTTTTCCTAAAGACGTTGCAACTTTTACACCAAAGTCAATAGCAGGACGACTTTTGTTAGAAGTTTTACTGTTGGATCTTAACTTTATTGGCAAGTAACCAAAATTCTAATACGTGCCTCTAAGGTGCTTCACACAACGAAACATACTAATACTCCTGACACATCCACCTCGAATTACGACAGAAGTTCAGTGGGCGTTTACCTGATTTAATATTCCCACGCGAAAAATATTTTACTGTAGTCGCTACTAAAACCGCGAGCTATTTTAGTATCACACGTTCCTATTATCGAGCCTGTTTTTATCATGCCCACGAAATAATACGCTTGTTGTTAATTACCTAATTATAATTCGATAATTACCAACGTATACACAATTTAGGGGACCATTCGTAGCGTTAAAGCATAATTTCGACACCAAAATAAATCAGAGTACTGCTTAGTCAAATTTGCTCGAATTAAATTGCTAGATCCGTCCCATTCTAATTAAACTGCTTTACTAATTGGTTCGCCTTTAACTTTTGTCTGTCTTTGAGATTTTAACCTAGGCTATAACTTTTATATCAGCGAAATAAAGAGACCTTGAAAAATTGTCTGGTCTAATAAATTAAAATCAGCCATCATTGCAAGGAAAAATTACTTCGAAAAGAAATGTAGACCGTAATTTGTTTTTTAATGCTTAGATAGGTGAACGAGCTTACAGCCCACCTGATGTTAAGTGGTTACTGGAGCCCATGGACATCTACAACGTAAATGCGCAACCCACCTTGAGTAAGTTCTAAGGTAATCACAACGGCTACCCCACCCTTCAAACCGTAACGCATTACTGTTTCGCGACAGAAATAGGCGAAGTGGTAGTACCTACCCTTGTGGTAATTGTAAGGTTTTAAGTTTAAGTAAGGGGATGTGTTTATAGCGGTATTTTTTTTTATTGCTCTCGAAGCAACCGTCGAAAGTCGGAATTGGCATCCCTATCTTGATGATTTTTTTTGGCATTGTCAGCCGACAGATGATCTTTATAATCATAAAAAAATTAAGTCTCATTATGAGTATTACTTTTTAGAAACTTGGTCAATCTTGTCAGCTAACTGCGAAGCTTTTGTGCACATAGCTTTAACATAATAATGAACTTGTAAGCTTACCGCTCAATACGTGCACCAACACTGTCTTAGGGTTGGCATTGGCTGGAGCGCAGGTGTACCGCCCCGAGTCCGAGGGCCTCGCCTTCTGCACCAGCAAATGTGACGTTGTCGTTTCTCCCTTCTCCGTTATAACCGATACTCCACCGCGTGGAGAATCATAGTTGATTTCCTTACAAGAAAACATAGATTAGTTTATTATTTCACTAGTCGCCCGCTCCGGCTCCGCTCGGTAAAACAAAAATTTCAATGGTATTTTATATTAATTAAATGTAACTTTTTAAGAAGGTAATTTTTACCCCTTGGGTTACATTATTGGAGTTTTAGTAAAGATACCTATTTTTTTTCAAAAAAATTAATAGTCTATGTCACTCGGGAATAGTGTAGCTTCCAAACGGTGAAAGAATTTTTCAAATCGATTTAGTAGTTTCGGAGCCTATTCAATACAAACAAACAAACAAATCTTTCCTCTTTATAATATTAGTATAGATAATCTTTATTTTTTAGTGCTTTGATGGGCGGACGAGCTCACAGACCACCTGGTGTTTTTTTTTTTTTTTTATTGCTTAGATGGGTGGACGAGCTCACAGCCCACCTGGTGTTAAGTGGTTACTGGAGCCCATAGACATCCACAACGTAAATGCGCCACCCACCTTGAGATATGAGTTCTATGATCTCAGTATAGTTACAACGGCTGTCCCGCCCTTCAAACCGAAACGCATTACTGCTTCACGGCAGAAATAGGCGGGGTGGTGGTACCTACCCGCGCGGTCTCACAAGAGGTTCTACCACCAGTAAACTATACATTTTTTTGATGAATCCTCATTACAGTTGGAAATAATAGTTAAACATTAACTACTCTGGTGTTTGATACAACACCGCTCCCAGCGCTAATATACATATTTTTCAAACTTGAAACGATACTAACTACTTAAAAGTAGTTTTATGATTTAAAATCGCTTTTATTATTATCGACTATATTCAATTTCAACACAATATTCAAATGTCGACGAATAATATAATTATTTTAGTATATATCGATGCTTGAAAGGCAAACGTGACTAAGGGATAATAACTGCTTTGTACATAAATGATAGGCAATAACCATATTCGATGCGCAAAAAAAAATATATTTCTAGGTCTATTAAAATCATTTCAATCCTACAGCTAGATTCGTTAAATAGATTTATTTTCAGGTATTTCAACTTTAAATTAGTCTACTGTAAAGTTCACGCATTGTCGCTTAGTCACGTTTGCCTTTCAAGCGTCGATATAATTATTTTAGAATATACCTATATAATACAGTAATATAATTATTTTAGTTTTAAATAAAATGACAATAAAATTGAAGTCGTTGTGGCCTAACGGATAAGACGTCCGGTGCATTCGTGTTGAAGCGATGCACCGGTGTTCGAATCCCGCAGGCGGGTACCAATAATTATTCTAATGAAATACGTACTTAACAAATGTTCACGATTGACTTCCACGGTGAAGGAATAACATTGTGTAATAAAAATCAAATCCGCAAAATTATCAAATAAAGCAACGTAACATATTCAAGATATCGTAAGCATCTTGGACAAATTTATGGTCAACAAACGTTATTGGAAAGTAAGTCACCATAAAATAAAGCAAGCTTTGGCAGTTCGTGCGATAATTCACTTATAGTTCCATATTGAAATTTACACAATATTCCTTTATTAAAATAAAATAAAAATTAACAAACCACACACAGTCTTCAAACTAGGATTTCCTGTACTATGGGAATCTATCTCATATACACATATATAATATGTACATCTATATATATAAAAGGAAGTCGTGTTAGTTACACTATTTATAACTCAATAACGGCTGAGCTTATTTGGCTGAAAATTGGTGGGGAGGTAGCTTAGAACCAGGAGAAAGTCATAGGACACTTTTTATTACGTTCCCGTGGGACGTGACATAAAACGTGGTATAACAAAACGCAACTGATATGGAATAACTAAACGCAACTGACAGCTAAACGTAATGTGGTCTATGGTTAATTACAGTAAAATTTTGAAGTTGACCGGTTGATGTGTTTGTTTCGAGTTTCTATTAGCTTATTGTGCCGAGATAGGTAATCATTAAGAAAGCCATGCCGCGACCAACACGATCAAACCTTTCCCGACGAAGCCGTAATGCAACTAGGGTTCGAAACACTGTGAGTGAAAGGACTGAAGAAGAACAAGAAAATATAATAAAAATAATAACAGCTAAAATACATGGCCAATAAATTATCAATAAAATACTTGCTTTTTTAATTTACATTAATTATCCAAATAAAAAAATGACCTTGATAAAATCAAAAGTCTGCTCATTTATTGCCTCTAAGGCGGAACAAAGTTCGCCGGGTCACCTAGTATATTATAAATATTATAATCTATAGAAATTGACCATGCAGAAACAGAGCAAGGAAACTTGCTCATCTTGTTTATTACGGAAGTGTAAGTGGAAGTCGTACCCACGACCCAGCCTACTAGTGTAGGGCACTGAATACTACGTCACCGGGTCAGTTAAATTATGCTTACCACGATCCAAATACCATAGTCTATATTTATGGTACGGTTATTGTTATGTACCAATATTTTACGGATTAATTTCCCCCTTTCGAACCTCTATTAACTTGACGACAAGAAAAAATATATAGAATCGCTGTTGTCCGTGGACGACGTAACCGTATAACATAAGTGAACACTAGCTACAGTCTTAACGGTAATAATCTTAATCACAAGTCTTCAAATGAAAACATCATCATTATAAATAACCAGCCAATCGTTCATAATAACATATCACTTTGACTGAAACGCCTAAATTATAAATTTTACTAATAATTATACTCGGCTTGACGTGTTCCCTATTAATTAAGTTCGTTAATTGGATGTTTCTGGTACCGATATTGGGCTAGCGGAATGAAATGCCCCTGCCAATTAAAGTATGGTGAGTTAATGCCGATAGATTTATTTATTGCTTACTAGCTGACCCGGCAGATTGCGTAGTGCCTCAATCGATAAACAAAAGACCTAAACTTTTGTCTAGAATAAACTTAAAACAAACAAAAGGAATCGGTCCCACGGGGGACACATGAAAGGGAAAACCAAAATTGTTTTTTTTATTTCATTCCGAGTATTTTCATATTAATCTACCTTTTGAACCTTCCCTGGACTGCCACAAATAATTCAAGACCAAAATTAACCAAATCGGTCTAGCCGTTCTCGAGTTTAAGCGAGACTAACGAACAGCAATTAATTTTTATATATACCTTTATAGACTAAACTATAACTACTTGCAGTTCGATAGCGCCGCACGTTTTTTTTATTTTTTTTTTTATTGCTTAGATGGGTGGACGAGCTCACAGCCCACCTGGTGTTAAGTGGTTACTGGAGCCCATAGACATCTACAACGTAAATGCGCCACCCACCTTGAGATATAAGTTCTAAGGTCTCAGTATAGTTACAACGGCTGCCCCACCCTTCAAACCGAAACGCATTACTGCTTCACGGTAAAAATAGGTAGGGTGGTGGTACCTATCCGCGCGGACTCACAAGAGGTCCTACCACCAGTAAGTATCCTTCACATGTACCAACAGATACCAAAGAATATATAGTCAGTATATTGCTTCAAGTATAAATCAGATGACTAAAACACGAAACTTATTGATCCTTAGATCATAACTAGACTAAGAAAATTAATGGTAAAATGAATCAGGAAAATCATAATTTACCTTCGGCATTTTTTTATGTGCACAGCAATTGTAAGCCGACAACGCAATATATTGTAGAAAATGAGGAAATATATTATATAGTTAAGATAAATTTATTATTAGAAATATCAAGTGTAATACCTAGGAGTAAATACAATAATATAATGAGTTCTTTATTAGCTTTATATTGAGTCATTTTATCAGAACAAATAATAAGAAGTACATGTCCAGCTTGTAGGCAACTATGATGATACTAATGATGATGAATTAATAATGATGATGAATAAAACACTGTAAATGAACCACAAATACTATTTAAGGTGTTACATAAATGTGCCTAGACATACAATTAGCGTTGCTCGTATTTCATTCGTCTGGAAGGAATCAGGGAAATTTTTATTGTTAAAGTTGCATCTTCTAAAGACCAGAAGCATAAAATATTCCAAGGCTCAAAATCTCAAGCATTTGTCCAGACGCGGCTAGAGTTAACCTGGATTACTAACGAAGCTAACACTTCGTTTAAAAAAAATGTAAATAAGTTTATGTGATCAAACTGTATTGATATCTTATGATGACGACTAGAATATTATTTCTAATCAATCACTATCTTATCCTATCACTAAAGTATCAAATCTATTTAACGTTGTGGGACATCGAAAAAAAAAACAGGTACAGCACTTATGTTGTATCCGTTTTTTATTTCTTTTTTTACCAAATAGAGAAAACTTTGTAATAAAAACAGGCTCTCGCATCGTATCAGCCATTCAATTCTTCTTGACCCAATAAGCCAGCCAAGCTATTTACCAAAAAAACTCTTTAATAATGCAAATTTATGATAAAACCCGATATTTCCTATTTACAAAGATCCCTTGGGCCAAATAAATGAATTCCTTAAGGATCGCCCAGTTTGGCTTCCATCCAAAGCTCATAACGGATCACTTTTATAGTAATGGCTATAGATTGGCTTGGTCGAAATTATGGAAAGTAGAGAAAAATGGCGTGCTTAATAAATGAAGTAGATTGATAATTATAAACACGATTGTTCCGTCATTATATTACCTATAGCAGCATTTGAGCCCCAATAGTCATATAATTGGAAACGAATACACCCTGGGAATCTTACTTAATATAGAAGTTTGAAAGTATTAAACTGAATGTCCAACATTTATAGTTTATAATTGGTTCTACCAAATCCCTGACCGTGGTAACGCCAGCATTATTTAGCATCAAATGTTTTAAAATAATCGATTATAACAAAATTAACAGACAGCTCTGGAACCATGTACCCATTTTCTTTGAAGTCAGTGAAAAATTTCTGGCTCTCTATCGTGCGTAGCGACACGCATGAAGAGTTCTTAACAAGCGCTTTCTACAGATGTTCCCAGTTGTTTCAATTACAGAGTTTCGTTCAATAAAGGGACTGGTTGTAGATTTATCCATTCGCT